TGGGCTAGGGGGGTGTAAACTGAAAAATGGGGTGTTAGAAGTAAGAATGACCAGGCCCAGCCCAATCAGACTTCATCTTCTTCCTTGGTTCACAAAAACGGGTGTTCTGTACATCACCTGCTATTTCCTGATTATTTGATTTTTTGACAAAACTCATAACATGAAACTTGTAGAGCATCAAACAACGAATCCAACCATATAAAAAACTTAAGCTAACTCTCAAAGACCAGAGAGAATTTCTGTGGCCCTAATTCTTAACCTAGTTTTTTCAGAAAGTTCATGAACGAAATTCTCCTAGCACGATTAATATATATGAAAACTAAGCATATGTATGGCTTCAGGGCTATGAATACAACATCTTTCATTCACAAACCTAAGTCTAACTATTCCTAAATAGAGAGATAGAAGTTCATGAAATACCTGTTTCAGTTGACTTCGAGCTGAGCAATGTAGTAACTTTCAAGGATATTTGAACTTCTTTTGAGCTTGCCTGAGGTCTAATGAAGCTTTCCCAATGCTTACTTTGTTTTGAAATGGCTTGAATCGTGCCACAGAACTTAACCTGCAAAGCTTTGAAACAAAAATGGCAATGTGTGTTAAGGGTGTTACAGCTAGCAATGGATGATCTGGATAGCTTAAGTATGTTGGTTAGAAGGTGTTTGAAGTATCTTTGGGCAAAACGCACGATGGAATATGGAGATGGAGATGGTTCTGCAGGGCTTGCCTTGTTTTGCAGAAAAATAGTGGTTTTGTGTACAAGGAGGTTTGAGAGGAAAAGGGGTCGTGTTTCTGGCTTGTTGGGAAGTATCAAAACTGGTTTACAATGTTTGTGTAAGTTGGTTTTAACAGATGTGAGAGATGGCTTGTATTTTGCAAGTTTCTTCTTTTTCAAGCAAGAGTGTGTATGTTCTCAATGCAAGCCTGTACAAGCCCTATATCATGCTGCATCTTTTGCTCTTGGTTCCTGGAATTGGTAGACTTGATCTTGCCTCAGAGATATGGCCCCATGCCTCAAGGATCTTGTTTTGACATAAAGTACAACTTTACAAAAATGGCATTATACCTTTTACCATTTAGGGCTTAATTTTGTATGCAATGTCCAAATGAACAAGATAATACCTTAGATCAATGGTTATGAATTAAATTATGGAGTATAAACTGGTTTTGAGGCCTGCAAGCTAGTACTAAGCATGCTGATTTGAAAATGCAAGTTTGTATGAACATGTATTGGTCATGGACAAAAATGAGTTTTTGCCAACTTCAAGCATTCGATTCTCTCTAACCACAAGGGTGTTTGAGGAGTTCTTGGACAATTTGGAAATCTTGGAACATGTAATATAATCCATCTTTGAAATGCAACTTGAAACTCCAAGTGGAACTATGTGAAAAATGGCCAAGAAGATGGGTCAAAATCCTGCCTAAACTAGGGCAAAATTTCTCTAAGTTAAAAGTTTCAGGTACCCTTGTTCCAAAATTCATAACTTGAGATACAAGCTTCTTTTGAGAAAACTTTGTGATTCAAAGTTTTAGACTTTGTGATGTACTACAACTTTCATGTTGCAAGTTTTGTTTGAATCCATTTGCATCTTGGTGAAAAAATGGGACAAAGTTAGGAAAAAAATAAGAATTTCATAACTTAGAAAATTTCTAAGTTATGAAATTTTTCCATTTTAAACCCTAATTTGCATTTTTGGGTTTCTTGATGAACAAGTTTCAAAATTTGACATGTCTTGATGAAAAATAACTCTTGGCACTTGATTTTGACCAAAAAGTCAAAGTTTGACTTTTCAGTGTATAGTCAAATTTTGATTAGTTGACTGAAAAATTCATCTGTCAATCCTATGCATTTGAGATCTTTTGAACTTGTTGAATGGGTCAAGACAATGTCATTTAGTCCTTGAGTCCATGTGTGAGCTTGATTTGCCATTGGTTAGGTCAAACAATCAAAAATTGCCTTTGTACAGTCAAAACCCTAAAAATGACCATTTTGCCCTTTTGGTGATCTGATCAAATTTCTTGTGGAATTGTGATCCAAACTTGATCAAATGACATTAATGAGTTCATTATGTTGATGTGAGTCAAAATTCATGAGGTTTGACTGTCAATTGGCCACAATTGACTTTTTCCCCAATATAGTTGATTTCTAGGTCAATTGTCCAATTGACTGGGCAAAAATTTGAATCAAGGCTTGGAACTTGGTATGGACAAAATTGTGGGTCCAAAATGGAGTATGAAAGTCACTTTGGGCATCTTAGGTCAAAACATCCTTGTGCAAACTCAAACCCTAATTTAGGTCAACAGTGCAATGAGGTGTCTTGAGCAGAGCAAACCCTAGCTTGATCTTGAGTTCCAAGAGTCTTGTGATGAGAAATGTTGATGAAATGAGAGAGAAAATTTTGGGGTACAACAGTAACCATGATGAAATGTTATTTATGTTCCAAATAAATTTCCGCTGATGGGTTTTGAACTGACTACCTAAATGTGTATATCACAACGGTTGGTTAGCGTAACCTTTGTGATATCTAGCACGCGTCTTCTCTTATTATCAGTCTCGAGACCATGGTGGAATCACTAGACATATAATCACACCTTACGTCACAACGGTTGGTCAGGCATTGTGGTATTCCTTTTCCACTATTGAGGTATGGCTTTTATGTAGTACTGTATTCTTGTTCACGTGGGTCACGTCTCTCCTCCTGGTTGGAAAAGCCTCCCTTCACGTACTTCTTGAGGTGACCCTCTTGTATCAAATTTTCTATTTCCTTCTTTAACTAGTAGTAGTCATTAGTGTGATATCCTTTAACAATATGGAATTTACACCACCTTTCTGGTTCATATCCCATTACCTCGGCCCTGGGGGCAGGTGGCTTTGAGATGTTATACATGTGGAGCATCTTGCACCAGATATGTTCTCGGCGGGTATTCAAAGGTTGAAACTCTCGGTTGCTTTTCCCGTTCTTTTGAACAGGGATTTGTCATTTGCAGATGATATGTAGCTATTATTCCTTGAGGGATGAGAGCTATTGGCGCTGGCGACACACTCCTTGGCATCGTGAGCCTTCTTTTTAACATTACTTTCCCTGCCTTTGATGTAGAATTCTGCTTTGGCAACTACTTCGATAAGCGTGAGCGCTGACTTTTAGGCATGAGATTAGTTGAAATGTCCTATCTTGAGTCCATTTTGGAACGCTCCCATAAATATTCCTTGGTTTATAGGGACTACCTTGATGGTGGCTTCATTGAAGCGGGCGAGATAGTCCCTCAACGATTCTGACAAACCTTGACGGATGTTGAACATGCTGGTAGTAAACATCTTCCTCTGGCGACTGGAGGAGAACTGGTATACCAACTTCCTTACCAATTCCTGATAGTTAATATAGGCACAAGGGAGGCCCATGTACGATCAGAGGGAGGACTCCCCGAGGGTACCTAAAAACATTTTACACTTTAGAGAGTCTGGTGCTCCTATGATAACCATTTGTGTGTTGGTGGAGGGAACATGCTCGTATGGATCAATGCATCCATCAAACTTGGCCAAGGATGGAGGTTTGAAGCCCTCGGGAACATGGCTCCCATATTTCGTTTGAGAGGGGTTAGAGATCCAACTGTTCCATCTCTTCTTGAGGATTGACCTTTTGTTGGCGTTGTTTGATGTTTTTGACACTGTCTTCCAACATTAGATTATGGCGTCATAATTCTTCCATCGTGGCTCACATCTTCGCCATGGCCTCGACATCTTATGTACCGTTGGTACCCTCAGGAGTAGGGGATGAAAATATTCTATTCACTATGTCTGGTAATTGTTAGTAGTTGGATTTGAGGGTAAGGCAGGGAAGATGATGGTTATTAGAAAGAGGTATGACCCATGTTAGTTTACTGACCCCACATTGGGTGTCATTGTACTATCCAAAGTACAAGTGTTTGTGTTCCCCCAACGGGAGTAGGAAGACTCAGAGATCCTAGTAGGTATATTATGCGTTTGAGGGTGAGGACTAGCTCACGACGACAAATAGCTCCGTATGGTGACTCTTTAGGCTATTTAAGGGACCAACTCACGTGAGGTGAGAGGCCCTGCTAGTGACTGACGATGTTACATTGCAGGTAGATGGTTAAAGTGATGTTGTTAGGGTTACTCGGAGCGGAGTGCTCTCTGAATAATGTTGGATAGTAGTAAGTGTGTATCACGTGAGAGTTTTTCTTATCTCCTTAAAAGATAATGTATTTATAGGAGTTTTCAAGGGTTAGAGTTTATGGCCCTTGGACGTGGTATTAACCATCCCCTTTATTAAAGAGGTTATTGACCAATGACCGACTATATTTTCGTAGTCAACAATGATTTTTTCTTATTTAACTTTTATGTTGGACGGACCGCTTGAGCAACTCTATTAAATTTCGTCCAAACGACCTATTTGTTAAACGATGAACACCATAATCTAAGACTTATCTAAATAGAATATTATTTACTACTCTAAACTACTTACCTCTTACCTCTTATCAGATACTTTAAGTCATAAAGAGTTTTTAAATAAAGTTAAAGTAATAATATAAAAAATAAAAAAACTAATATATATTTTATATAAAAAATATAGATAAAATAGATTATTTAAATACACTTTTAAACCATCCTAAACTTTTAAAAATGCTAAACCAAATAAAAAAAAGGTGTATAATAGACTATAAACCAAGCAAAAGTTTTAAAAATTTACGGTAAATCAAAGTCAAACTTTTTAATACCTATCCAGTCTTATACCCACCCTACTTGTAATATTAAATTGTAAGTACTCTTGAAAATGTTTTCTTATAAAATAACATATTATATGTGCACGTATAAAATTATAGAAATCTAGTACTAAAGAGAGTCAAATATAGATGAACATTCTATAACATCCAAAGTGTTAGAATCGGGTGGATGTAAACTAACCATCCAAAGTGTCACGCGATCGGTTTGAAGACACAAGTAACCGACTCTAAGTCACAAAAAGGAATAATAAAAACATAAAATGCAATTTATGAAACCGTGGTTTCGTAACGGTAGCTTCTGCCACACCGTGTCTCGCTCCTTTTTATTAACCTTAAACCCTAATAACCCTTTCATCTTCTCTTCACCAATTCGCCCTCTTTCATTCTTCTCTTCATCAATGGCGTCCACTCACTTTTCTTCAAGCTCCGCTCTCTCTCTGGAGAAACAGTTCGGCGAGTTCAGAACTCAACTCGAAGAATCCGGAACCGTGCGCGACCGAATTCGAACCGTCGTTACACAAATCGAGTCCACCACAAGACTCATGTATGCTAACATTCTTCTTGTTCATCACTCTCGCCCTACTCCAGGTACAAATGCCTCTCACGCTTCTTCTTTAAACCCTAATCCAAACTTGTCTGTTTTGTTTTATGCTTTGGTGTTTTGTGATAATGCACTTGTGGTTTTCTTTTTTGGAAAGTGTTTTCTCATATGGTTTTTTTTGTTGTTTGGATAGAACTTTTGGAGAAGGCTAAGTCTCAGATTGATGTTCTGAAGGACAAGTACAAGCAACTTGCTGATATTCTTGGAGGATGTACTGGTCAATACTATAGGTGATTCAGGTTTCTGATTAACTTTTGTGTACTTTATCTTCTCGTTTTGTGGGAAGCTAACTTTGATTCAATGTAATGTAGGTATCATGGTGATTGGAAGAGTGAGACGCAGTCCGTTGTTTCTATGCTTACTTTTATGCACTGGCTTGAAACAGGAACGCTTCTCGAACACAAAGAAGCCGAGGAAAAACTCGGCTGTATGTCTTGATACTTTTCTATTCGCATGCCGATCTATGTTTCATTGTCTTATATTATTATATTATTTGGGTGTTTTTGCATGCATATCTTGATGTTGTTGCTACTTGCTGATTGAATAGAATATGAAGCTCTGGAGCACCGACACCTCTGAAACAAGGCGTGTCTATGTCTGTGTCGGACACTGACACTTGTAGTTAAGTTTAACTTATTCACTTTGTCAAATTATTACCGTTGTCAACATGTCGGTGTCTTTGTCTGTGCTCATAGTTATGAAGTTTTAAGATTCTAAGCAGTAGGGGACTGTGAACTCAATCTGTTGTTTCTGGTCAAATAAGTTTATGCATGCCATGATGGTAGAGGTTAATTGTTAGACAAAGTGTTCAAGCATCTAACGTAAGGGAAAATAAAACGAACCTCTTGCAGAAGGACTGAAAATGGAAGCAAATATTAGCTGTACAGATTTTACATGGTTGTTATGAAGAACAATGTATGCATGTATGGCTTTTGCTTTATAACTTATTGGGTTAATCTGCACTTTTCTTTAAGGATAAAGGAAGTCTTCCACTATTTGATAGTAATTTCAAGTTGCAACTAGTCTAACATTTTGGGATTTAGATCTTTCAAAATGTGAAGTGCAGGGTGCACCTTACTTAAGTCTGGAGTAGTAAGATCAAGCGAGTGGCTTCTTTTATCAATTATGTAGGTGATTGTCACCTTAAAAATTATTAACCAATTACTTTTACATCAGTGTTTATCAACCCCATGCTTTATTGTGCAAAAAAAAAGCCCATCACATGTTAGAAGATTCAAATGCAATAATTGATTTCAGATTATGTCAGATGATATAATTATGTGTTCATTGCTTATCTTTAAGAGTGTGACCACATTTAGAGTTCCTTTAGCATGAAGTATTGGTGTACAAACATCTAACTGGGAGACCTATGGTTTAGAACTTCTCTCGGACATTAAACTTTCCAACCTTTGATATATTTTTTTCCATTCTAAAAGTTATTAATTCTTGGTTTTTAGGCCAGTTTACTTGTTTATCTTCTATATGCTCAGTATACATTCATGTGTTTTCTGACTGAATAAGTCACAGCTAAATTTAAACTCTTTTTTTCCTTTTCTTTTTAATGGCCATAATGTTAACTTCTACCTTATGTCCATTCCGAGTATTATGAGATTTATAATATGCTAGTTATTTATATTTGTATATTGTTAACTATTTTGCAGTGAATGGTCCGGACGAGTTTAATCTAGATGTTGAAGACTACCTAGTTGGTGAGTGTGTTCTACATATGTATTTTGTTTCACTGAATGGAATGCATTTAGTTGTTTGTTGCTGCTGAGTAATCGGCATTACCTAAGCACTTGAGATGAATGAATAAAATCATCGTTTTGCACTTTAATTATTTTAGGCTAGCTTCTTTTGAGTGAATAGGGACCAATTTAAATATGGTTATCATCGAGAAATGAGTGTAGCAGTTAGAGTCCGTAGGTCTTTCTGGGTAAAGTAGCAAGATAATAAAATGACACGGTTGACATGTTTAGAGTTTTCAGAAATCTTGATTTTTAATCTCTTTTTTCTCGGTGACATCTCAACCATTTTTTACAGTTATGCAACATGTACTGATGTATTTTTTTCGTGCAGGTGTTTGTTTCATGTCTAATGAATTGGTAAGAACTATTTTTCTTCTAAATTTTAAATATCAACCATTTGAAAAATTTGGAGACATTTAACAGTGTTTATAACTTCGTTGCGTATTATAAAAGACATCTATTTTGTAACTTGCAGCCAAGGTATGTGGTTAATCAAGTAACATCTGGTGACTATGATTGTCCAAGGAAAGTCCTAAAGTTCTTAACAGATCTTCATGCTGCATTCCGAATGCTCAATCTACGAAATGATTTTCTGCGTAAGAAGTTTGATGGTACGTCACTGCTTTAACCTTGTCCAATGCATAATTTTTTCTCCCTTTTGTCACTGCTACAATCATCGAATAATGTTGTCTTTCGGCTGTTTGGTTGACATGTTACCGCTGTTGGCAGGCATGAAGTATGACCTAAGAAAAGTAGAGGAGGTTTACTATGATGTTAAGATTAGGGGTTTGACACCCAATGGTGAGTCTATTGAAGGAGTCAAAGAACAATCTTAGTATGTTAGAATGTATTGTATAAGCCTAATAATCTAATTATTCTACAATTATTTATATTGTTGGTGAAGAATATAAGCTTATTATTATATTTTTGGTAAATGGCTGTTATGGCTGTTATTCTTCGGATTTACAACCATTATATATTTTTACTGAAATGTTAATTATTAAATGGATATAGTAATACAAGGGTAAGTTTTATGAAATGCAACGTTTATTCATTTAGTCTCTCTATTTTAATTCATATATAGAAAAATTATCTGATTTAAAATCAGTGTCACTCTAAGTTTGTAATTTTAATATTTAATTTTCAATTACACCTCTAATTAATATTTTATATTCATTATTCTTTAATTTTGTATTATTGATAATTAAAATATGATAGTTTATAAAAATAATTTGGTAAAATTAACTTTTTCTTTTAAATCTAAATGATAGTGTTTGTATTTTAGACCGAAAAAAATATTTTTAATTTATGTTAAAAAACATTAGACGACACTTCTTTTTAAAATAGAGTGAATGCCTTATATGAGTGTTTTAAAAATTGGTTCCATCTTATCAAATTGGAAACAAGAAGGGTACTTGGTCCAAGCTAGTTATTAGACTGTTCATATAACCAAACTGATAGAAATTGATCAAAATTAATAAAAAAATTTGGTGAATTAGGGATTTTTGCAAACTCGTAAGACTAATGTTTGTTTGTTTTTGTTTTTTTTCTCTTCAGAAATAACGATTATATTAACTAAAAAAATTAGGTTTAAAAGGATCTTTTTGAATACAAGAGAAATAAATGGTGTCTAACACTTTCCATTTATTTAATTAACTCTCGAATCTATTGATTTTTAAACAATTAGAATTTTTCCGTTCTTTTCCTATAAATAAATAGTGGTGACGACTATCTTTTTTTTTTGTCGATTACGACAGACACATATTGGATTATATTATATTCTTATAAATCAACAAACTATTTATGTTTTTTTTTAGGTTTGATTTCATTAATATTATAATGGTGGCGGTGGTGGTGGTGGTGGCGGCGGTTATTTTTATGTTATATTATGTTGAACGATATTATTTCTATATATATTTTTTATGTTTATTTTTCCTGATTCTTATTTATTCCTTATGTTATTCTATTGAAATGTATTTATGGTATTTTTATTTTGTTTAATTATTAATAAATAATTGTTTTTTAATTCTTTAGATTTAATTTATAAGAATTAAATAAAAAAAAAATGTATCATTTGTTTAAAATATCTATTTTTATTTTGATAACAACAAAATTCCAATTATATTTTCACTATTGAAATTGGTTAGAACAATTAAAATATAAGCATAATTGTAAATCAGAAGTTTACAAATCAAATTTAAGAATATTGTTGGCAAAATCGGTAGGATTGTTCCGGATGAATTATGATGCAAAATTATGTTATTTGTGAAACCGGTTTTATATAACATATAAGATGATATTTGTGAATTAATACATAAATCATGTAGACGATTTAAACATTTTATGATATTAATTGTTGCATTGACTTAAAGATCATGTATTTATTTTTTGTCTACTCACAACTAAAAGTTTGTGAAATTATTTTTTTAAAACTAAAATATCACGAATATGTATCATGATGTGAAAACTAGTATTGAAAAATCAGAAGTTTCTTCAATCCAATAAATTTGGTGTGTTTCTACAAAAAAAAAAAATTAAAAATCTGAGAGATTGAGTATTTCATGACATTAGTTGTTGCATCAACTAAAATATTATGCAAATGTTTATTGTCTACTCACCACAACCAGAAATTTATGAAGTTGTTTTCTCAGACTAAAATCTCAATTTCTGAATTTTTCAGAATTTTCTTGATAATATATATTATTAAAATTAATATTGAACATCTTGTAGCATACGTTCATAAAAAATGGACTTGATGATCTATTCCTTAGATGTCTAATGTTAAATGTATGATTGATGTTTGTGAGATTATAAAGTCTAAATTAGAAATTTGAAACACAAAATATGAATATTAATATATTTATTCGCATTAAGCCAACAAGATAGTATATGTTAACTCCCCTCTTAACTTACAAATTGTTTTAGGTTAATAACCTAATATGTCTCGTCTAAGTAAATTTTTGGATGTGTTGTGATTATTCAATTGCAATATAGTACGCTAAGACGAGTTTTGAAAGAATGTTGAGAAAATATCTTTTATATGAATCCCGTATATGAGGATGTATCTTGATCCAATAATTAGATACTTGTTTGAAAGTGTAGGTTGATTATCAATTGATAAGATAATTTTCTCAGTATTAGGGAGAAAGAATAAGCAGCTGAAAGTGTGAACCAGAAGTTCAAATGAACAATTTGAAATAAAATATTATCATATCATTTTGATCCTCGAAGTTCAAAACATAATTCTTTTGCAAAGTTTATGAAAAAATTATTAGCCGCTAATACTCCTCTCAAAGTGGATTCTTCTATCGGACAACATAATATTGCAAATGAGTTATAACCGCGCCTGAAGCGTGGTAGAAAAGTTGGTTTCGATGTTAAAAAGTTCTCTACCGAGAAAAGAAAATAAAGTTAAAGATGATCCAAGTGAGGATATGAAAATTCTAAGAGCACTTTGACATAATTTATTTTTTAGTTCCAGAAGAACTAATCAAGTACTTGAAATATGAAATAAAGAGATCTCAATAAATTATGTCATAGATGAAATAGAATGGAACCGAAATTAAGATAATCAAATAAAGTCGACATTGGCAATATATTTATATATAATATATAGCTAAAGATGATAAGGTAATAAAGATCATGAAACAAAGTCTACCAAAGATTATAGAGAAAGTGAGAATTGGTCAAAATGAACAAATCATAAATCAAAGTGTATCAAAGATTTTAGACAAAGTGAGAATTGACCAAAATAAATAGATCATGAATCAAAATCTATCAAATATTATAGACAAAGTGAGAATCGGCCAAAACAAACAGATTAAATTGAAGAATAATTAAACTCACTCTAAAAGCAAATCATTTTTGGACCTGTAGTCCGAATACCTCGAGGTGTGAAACCAATAAGATATAAATGAGTTTTTGAAAAAGCAAAATAATAATGGTATAAAGCTTGATTTGTTGCTCAATGATTTTCACAAAGACCTAAGATCGAGTTTGATGAACATATCCACATGTAGTGGATTCAATTAATTTTCAATAATTAATTAGTCTTGTAGCACATGAAGGGCTTGATTTGAACATGATGGATGTTGTAACATCTTACTTATATGGTTCACTTGATACGAATATAAGATTGAACAATTATCTCTATGGGCTAAAACAATATGGACACAAGTGATATAATTGTCTCAATGAATATTTGCTAAGGGAGAGATATATAAATAAGTCGATAAGTCTTTGTATTTTTATGAAAAGTTCTAGAAAATAATTTTCTATAATAGTTGTCTATGTAGATGACATAAAATTATTGGAACTCCTGAAGAGATTCCAAAATCTATAAAATTTTAAAGAAATTATTTGAAATAAAGGACTTGGAAAAGAAAAGGTCCTTACTAAATGAACATTTAGACAATATAACTTTTATTCACCAAGAAGGTTATATAACAAAAATGTTAAAAAGTTTTTATACGAGTAAATTTCATATATAGCAAAAATGTTAAAACGTTTCTATATGGACAAATCTCGTATGTTGTCTATCTCTATGATGTTAGATCATGGGATGTACAGACAATTCTTTTAGATATTGAGAAGATGATGAAAAATTAATTGATCCTGAAGTATCATATCCTAGTGTAATTTAAGCACTAATCTATCTTGCTAATTATGCTCACCATGGTATGTTAATTTCTATAACTCTACTAGCAAAATATATTTTTTCACCTACACGAAGACATTTGAACGAAGTCCGACATAAACTTCGTTATCTTAAGGATAAATAGACATGAGTTTGTTTTATTCCAAAGTATCTAAATTATATTTAACAGGTTATGTAAAAATAAGTTACTTGCCAAATCCTTATAATGGTAAATCGCAGAGATTGTTTGTTTACTTCTGATGGTGCAACTATTTCACGGGGACCAGCGAAGCTAATAATAGCAACAATTTCGTTTAATATGAAATCAAAATTGATTTCATCCAAAAGGTTCTCAGCCTTAGACAATAGGATCTTCATATTTGACATGTTTTAGAATACTCAGTGAACTTATTCAAAGTTCTTAGATTGAAACATCAAACAAACAATTAGTAGCAACATCATTTTATATGTTTGAGTTTAAGATTCTTAAAATAAATATTATCAAAATCATTTGACTTTCTCCCCCTTTGTCAGAAATAAAAAATGTAATAAAGAGACACAAAATGAACTTTGACACCATAACAGATTCAAACCAGAGAGTTGTTTGGATAAAATTCACATGATTGAGGTTTCTTAAATCTTTGTATTTTTTATGAAAGTTTACTTATAACAAGTTTTAAGTCCTGTCTTGAAACATAAGGTTTAAAAGAAATGTTTGGTAATACTTTATGGGAATGAAAAATTTGAGTCAGCACACATATATCCAATAGAATCCAATCATAACAAAACAAAACATTTTATTAATTAAACAGGGAATAACAAGTACGACACAACAATATTAAGACAAGGAAGACAAACACACAACCAGCAGAAACAACCCCTACAACCTAAACTTCGAGAACTTCATATAGAACTTTCTCAAGAAAATCCTCAGGTCCATTGCAAAGAGTGACTCCAATAATCATAGCCCTAGTGAAGAGTACAGAGAGAACTCTTACAAAAGGTATAATGGTCTGGTGTTGAGTTCTGGAAGAAATGATTGAGTCCCTTAGGTAGTTAAAAATGGATTGAGGTAAGTTAACTCTAAACTGATGGACAAGGAAGTAGATGAAAACTTTGTCCTCATAGGTTATGGTGTTAAGCATTTATCCTCTAGGTCTAAAGTTTGTCAACACAAGATGAAATCAAACTGAAGCAGTT